CTGCATGCTAATCTAGCCCCTATTGAAAAGAGGTCAGCAGTGCACTGAGCCAGGTTCGTGAACAAAAGACAGTTGTATAACACCGCACAATCTGGGCTCTGTTAACAAGGCTGCAGGCCTGGCTGAAATATTCAGGCGTCAATGAAGGTCACCTGTCAACTTAGAGTAGTGCCTGAAGATTACTCTGTGTGGCTATAAACGACTGTTAAATGGAATGATGAATTGTTTAAGGATTTTGAATACGGAAAAAATGATAGTCATGCCGGCCCAGCATCCTCAACGTTGAAAAATGCCCCGGCACGAAGTGGTTAACCTGCAACAGAAAAGTGAAACTTCTTGAAGGAATTTGGCTGTTCAAATAGCCGGAGGTCGATCACACCTTTGCAACCATGTGCCAATTCTCTGATGTTTGTTCACATTATTAGCGACCATTGGCACACCTGGATAATTGCGTGGACACAAGGCCAACATTTTGTGGGTGGTTTCTGTACTTCAGAGGTGATTCATGGCGTTCACATTTGGTGCAAATATTTCAATTTTCTTATAAATCAGAAAAATGCTTGTGCCTTGTAACACTTACTCTTGACATATTTCCAAAGATATATTTTATTGCATGATAGAGCATTGCATGTATTCAGATTGTATGAATTATAGAAAATGGATTTTTCAAGCCAACTTTCTCTCTGTACTATGAGCAATAAATTTGTGTACTTTTTAAATTCCAACATGTGTTTATTTTTTGGAATATTAATATAGACTTTAAATTTGTGGGGGTTCATGTTTTTAGCAGTTACACTTTAACGTACTGAAATTTACCATTCTAGGGCTGCATGCGGCATGCCTATACATGGAAAAAGGCACTTTTTAAACACCAAGAGTTAGCACTTACGCAACATCCTGCTTGTAACAAGATCAAGTTTTGGTCCCCAAGTCTTTATATCTTTTATTTTCTCCCAATAGAGGCTTTGCGTGGTAGCCATCTTGCAGGGCAGTTCGTTTGTTACACAGGGAAACGCCCTTGTAGTGCATACCCTTATGGAACAAAAGCACTGGCCTGCAAGATGGCAGCCATGCAAACCCTCTATACTGACAAGGTCCCTGTTGAAATTGCAGAGTCCCAGGATCTTGTTACATAAAGGTTGGGCTGCATTAAGTTTATTGAGCCTTGGCCCTGGCCCAGTTTAAAGGCCCAGTAACAATCTATCAGGTTGGGCAGGGGCCAAAACAAGAGTTTTCTGTACAACTTTGTTCCCAATTTGGTTTCATCTGTAAAAGAATGTTTGCCCCTCCAATAAGAAAGGTTGCAGGCATAATTTTTTTAATTGTTGGCACTTTAAATTTCCCCACAAGAAAAATATTGCAACAGGTTCCCTGCTGGAGACGCCACTGTTTTAGTGCACTGGATCATTGATCCAGTTGTTTTAAATAGACCTGTAACCCAATGATGTCATGCTTCATGTACATGTATGTTTTCCTAAGGCAGAGACGGGATGGGATCCATCAAGATCCCATTAGAAAGTGCATGTGTGAACAACAAACCGTGACATCATGTTTTAGTTCTTTGGTCATGCAGCTAACTTAGTTTTCAAGATGTTTAATACTGAAATGAATTTCATAGTGATTTGAAATTGGTGATTTCACTGGATAGTCACACTTACTCAAATGTGTACATTTTTATGTCACTGAATGTTAATCGACTACATTTTGAGAAGAATAAATTTGATAATCTGCTTTCGTAAAGCCACATTCAGGTATTTTTCCCATTATTGTTTTCAGTTTTCAAGTCAAGCTCTAACTTACCACAATAACTAATGTTACTAAAAACAAAGACTGTACTTTTACCACTGGCAAAGCAAAATATTACATCAGCTCAAAAGAAATCTTAAACCCCAACCCTCTAAATATGGCCATTAACAGACGGTCACAGTCCATCAATATTTCATACAATACTTTTATTATCATTGAATATACATGTACACAGGGGCAGCATACTTGCAAGTAATTTCAAATCAGTTTGTCGTACATGTCTCATGCACGCACCGAATGGCACACTGTTGACCACATGAGAAATTTCCTAACATTACACCGATACAGTAGTTCTCATTAAGCGTCCCTAAATAACCAAAACTTTCCCTGCGTCCCACAAGAGAGAGAGAAAATCTACCATGACAATTGCTACACAAAATTTACAGAAAAAGTTATTTAGCATCTTAATTTTTCTTCTTTTTTACTTTTGAAAGCAAGACCCATGATGGTTAACCCACACGTGACAGATTTTCTGCCCGAAGACAGTATAATCATGCAGTGTAAGACCTAGCCTACTTCAGTGGCTCTAAAACGTCTCCCCCTACACAACACAGACACTGAGAATTTAGACTAATTCTGTCAAATCGACGACAACTCTGAAAAGTGAGTCATCTGGCTCTATCTGCGGCTGAGTATGGGCAGACCATTCGGAGAGACAAATTTCTGTCAGCTACCTAGCATTTTAGACATCACAGCAAAAGTATGGCTCAATGCTGATTCAGTCAGCAACTTGCACTTTGGTTTGCAACATGTAGTAAAATAGCCAGTCGTTAAAAAAACAAACCAAAAAAAACACCGAATGATTTGCTCCCAAAATAGTGGACAATGTCAGCTCTCATGTCATAGCAGAGGAATTATAGCATAGTTTAGAACTATTACATTCATCTTAAGAACTGTTTAGGGCACAACAGAATATGCATACTTGTAATTAGTACAGAGAATATACTGTATAAAAATATTGTCATTAAGCTATTTTCTTTTACATTTGCCAACAACACATCAGATAAGGTTTTTTCTTTTTGAAGGCAGGTGAAAAGCAGAATGCAAGCCAAAAATATAGTAACTTCTAGAAAGAAACACAGTGAAAATATAAAAAAAACCCAGACAGCGGTAGTTGCTGGTATTGCATGAATATTGACATATTCTCAATCACTGGGTAGCTATCACGACTCTGCAAGGAATTTTACAAAAATCAACTCCTAGAATCAACTCCTAGAACAGCTGAAGTTCTTCCTCTGCTGGCTTTCACCCCAAAGGATGAAAGTTGTACTGCCAGGATATGTTGAGTGCATACTCTTAAACCTGATGGTGGGTGATAAAACCCAAGGTGATGCCTCGATGTCACGATAAGCTTCTCCTTCTGCACAGATATTGGAAGGTGTTCCGATAAAAAACTCTACAAATTTTTTTAAAACGGCACATGTATTCAACCTTCAGAACTTTCAATATTTAGATGATACAGTAAGGCAGGCCAAGAGTCCGGGATTGATGGCCATTTCCAGGCTGCAATTATGGGTGGTATGACATCACGTCCCTCCTTCCTCCTATTACTGTATATGCGGTTTGATTTGTTCAAGGGAACTGGTTTGTATTTCATAGGATTTGTCAGAGAGGGAGGACTGAAAGGAAAATGAATTTTTTCCCTGGATCTTCTGGTGGTGGTTTTTCCAACACATTTAAGAAGAGAGCTGCTGACCGCCTAAGAACGAGTGACATGTAGTGAGTTTTGAAGCATATTTTGTATCTGCTATGCCCTGACGTGTCCTCACAGGGCAAGAGCTCTGTATCACTCGAACAGGCTCAAGTAAACCTCTTGTGGACTCGTAACTAAATTAAAATAACAAAAACCGCCTCTGAGACACAACGGAGATGCCAGCAATGCGAAACCTCTGTATCCACTGCCTGCTACTTGTAAAAGACCAACAGTATTACAGCACACCTCACTGCGGTTCCAAGGGAATTAGAAAGAGAAGTGGAACAATGAAGCGGCGGGACTACGAAGTATGGAGGAATTGAACACGGCTGGCTATATTGCATCTTTGCACAAACTGATCAACTGATGTCCCATCACCATCAACAAGCAGCCAGCATGTCTTGCAACTTTATCATTACTGCACTGGACATCCACTGAGAAAATTTCACGGCACAAAGGTAACAAGGAAATCACTTGATTATGATTCAGTAATAATGGACCCGAGAAAGGCCAGGGGAAAAACATGAAGACACAAGAGTTCAGCCATTTCAAGCCAGGAAAATATCCCCTTGAACACTTAAGTAGTCTAGTTCCTGTAACTATAAGCACAATTTTTGAGCTACACACACTGTATCACCTGGTAAATATCACAGTATAAATTTTGAGTCGACTGGTAACAAACTTGGCATGCTTTGAAAAATTAGCTAACATTACGCCAAGTCTCCCCCACCCATAAGTTGTAGGTTCATATTTGGTGTCAGCTGTGGGATCCACATCCAATTGGAGCCTTAACTCTATTGAGGAACCAATACGGCTTATGCAACAATAACCGCCCAAAATGCCGGACTTGACATTTCGTTAGATTTTTGGTGGTACTGTCTCAATTAACGGAAGTCACAGTCGGTGCTTCACAGAGATCATAAGCTCTCGTCACTCTCATTGGCTTGTAGCTGCATGTCTTCAGCTTCAACGGTGCCCTCTTGTGCCACGTCGCCCTCGCCCACTGTGTCACTATCCCCAGTGTCTGTGTAAGATTGTAAAAATGAGCAGCTGTCAGTCTCCAGTGAATTAGTGTTTATGCCGTTGAAGAATTTCACATATAACATTTGACAATTTAAAATTCATATGAACCACTTCCTGCCGGGGAGCCCGGTTTCGGGCACCGTGTGTTTATACGCAGAGCCGGGGTGCTGGTTTCTGACAAAAGAGCTGGTCTGTGTAACAAAAGACTGTACTCGGAACAAAGGACCTGCTGCTGGGAACTGCCATCGTTTTTCGAAGGTAGTCCGACACTGTTTTGAAAGAGTGTACCACTGTTTTGGACAAAGCACGCCCGTGGATTAGCATCGTGGACAAAGTGCTCCAGGGCCCCATTTATGAGTGACACAGCGCCGCTGCTCGCTAATCCAGCTGCATATAAAAAGAGGCTACTTGCATTCACTGGAAAAAAGGAAATTATGCAACACCTCATAATTCTGGGCTCTCTTTTAAAGGGCTGCAGGCCTGGGTTGAATACTCGGGCGTCAATGAAGGTTGCCTGTCAGATCAGAGTAGCCACCAGACAGTCGTTCGTGTGGGTGTAAATGTCCAGTAAATGAACACATGAATTTTTTAAGAAGTTTGAAAATGGAAAATCTTGAAAAAGTCCCGTCACCTCATCCCGCTGAAGAAAAATTCACCCGGCAGGTAATGGTTAAGAAACACCCAGACATGCCTAGCAATGGACAGCCTTCTTGTAACCCTTAATGTTTGTAACACATACCCTGCACTGGAGAATGTTATAGATTGTCAATAACAACTTCAGAGGTGGTAATTTGGATCGTGCTCAAATGCTTCTCAGAGGATTGAGCAACACCAGTCGTGCACTGATTAAACCATGGAGGTAGTTTTCAGGTACAAATGGTTTCATAAGCACAATTACCATCTCTACCCCCACAAGTATGCACATACACTCCTGAGTGGAGAGAAGATTACCCGCCATTAGGACACACGGTGCCTTTGCCAAATTCTCATTTGCACAGCTCATGACTTGAGTTTACTGAAGGACTCTTGATGGACCTACAGTAGATCTTGCAGGAGGACCAGCTGGGGTGTGGAATACGACACTACTTGGAACTCACCAGCATTACTGGGCCCAGGATCAGCCAGGGCTTCAGCTGCTGGGTCATCGTCATCGGGCAGGTACCTCTTGTCCAAAGCCTCCTTAATCTGGTTGTTAGCCCCCTTGGGGTCTAGGTCCACCGCCCAGGAAAAGTTGGCCAAAGCTAGGTGGGTCTGCCCACATTTCTTATATACCTGGAAAATTCACAGTTGATTATCGTTTTAGAATTTCACCTCCCCTTGAACTTTGAAAACTCAAAACTGGCGCTGAAATAGAATGGTGTCAGAAGCAGAATCTGCTTGAGCGCAGTTCCACAATGACTGTTACTTATTCACCATTTAATACAATAATTCACTGGATGACCCTTCAATTGCATGATCGGGGTTGTTCCAACAGAGCATTACACCCAGAGGTCTCAAACACTTCTCAATTATTACCCCTGTTCAATGGGCCATTAAACCGATGTTTTGCCGCAGATCAGCTTGAGATTAATGGGATCTGCTGTTTACCCTGATAAAGGTACCCATTCACACTCCTGTGCAGAGTCAATTGTGGTAGTGTGTCTTGCCTAAGAACACACATACCATGACTGGCAAGCCCTGCTCTTGCTCTGTGGCACCAGGTCACCAGCTTGCCCGGACCAGTGAACTCACCTTGCCCATGATGAAGTAGACCAGCGACTCCTTAGGAATGATCTGCTTGAGCTCCTCCAGCTCCTGCAGGGCCTCCTGGTAGCGCTCCGTGGCAAAGTAGATGGAGGCCCGGTGGAACTTGCACAGGGGGTTGTTGGGGTCCATGGTGATGGCCCGGTTCAAGGTCTGCAAGGCTTGCTGCGATTTGTGCTGAGCATGCTGCACCTGTTCAAGTCCAATTTGTATAACTTGTTCTTTGACCCAAACAGTTTTTGATCCTCTAATTTCAATAAAAATTCACAATGTGACGCTACAGTTTATCAATAACTAGCAGAACAATTTCTGTTCGTCTACCTCTTTTGGCAAAGTTTAAAAACCACTGTTAGATAAGAGCACATTTACTGCACAGTTTATTGAGTTTGTTCCTTTTAAAAGTACAACTTAATTGTTTTTGTGCACATTCAACTGCAAATTGGCCATCCACTCTATAGGCTGTTTTTAAATACAGGGTGCCATATATTTTCAGTATCAAGGAAGCACCCTCACTTAGCTTCTGTTAACCACTTGCCTCTGCAGTACCAGGCACCGGGTAACATTGGGTTTGTACGCATAGCTGGGGTACCTGAAATCGGACTAAGGAGCTGGGCCTTGTAACAAATGACCATACCCAGAGCAAACACCCAGCTGCTGGGAATTGCCATCATTTTTCAGTCGGCATGAGCGAAAGTAATCTGTCATTGTTTTGAAATGGTACACCACTGTTTGTGGCATTCCGTGCCCCCAGATTATCAGCAGGGACAAAAGCACTCCAGCGATGAGCAATAAAGTACCGCTGCACGCTAATCGGGCCACAGTTGTAATGACGCCACTGTCATTCAGGAATACACTGAGCCAATTTCGGAAACAAAGAAAATTATGCAACACCGCACAATGTCGGCTCTCTTTACTAGGCAGCAGGCCTGGCTGCAATACCTGGGGGTCAATGGAGGTTGCCTATCAGATTAGAGTAGCCACCAGACAGTCATTCGTATGGGTGTGAGCGTCCAGTAAATGAAGTTATGAATTTCTGAAGAATTTTGAAAGGAAAAAAATCTTGAAAATCACCCGGGAACTCGTCCCGGATGTGCGAATTCCACCCGGCAGCAAGTGGTTAATGTGCCACAGGCTATCCTTAACAATTCCTGCTAGGAACCAATGGGTGATGTTCAAATACATTCATGGTGAATCAGAACAGTCAACGGTATAAGTAAATTGGGATGACTTCCCTCAAGCCTTGTTCTGTACGTACCATAAAATGTTTAGAACTGTAGAGAAAAATTAACAATAAATGCTCAGCACCCGGGACAGGCAGCAGCAAAGTCTGGTACCCAAGGTTGGCTTACCACTCCTATGTGACACAGCAGGACAGAGCTCTGCGGATTGATGGCCAGGGCTTTGCGGTAGTGCATCTCGGCCAGGGCAAACTTCTCCTGCTTGTAGTAAATCATGCCAACACCGTACCTGCGGACAAGGACAAACGTGCAATATTGTCTGATTCCAGTGGCAGAATTGCCCTCCAAGAGCTTCCATTCTCAGTTAAGTTTGTTGAATTTTTTAGACGGGGCGTCAGTGAGACGCTAAAATGATCACTTTAAGCACATAGTCAAATCACAAGATGTTAGAGTGACGCACAATATCCTAAGACTGGCCATCGCTGCTGCAGGCAAGAGTCCCCTTGGCGACTTCAGTCGTATGTTGTGAAGTAGACAGTAAGGACTATTTTCAAGTATGCTGATAGCTCACAGGCTGACCAGCAACGAATGCCTTACCATGCATTGTAGTGCTTTGTGTTAATCCTGATGGCTGTGCGGTAGCATGACATGGCTTTGTCCAGTTCCTCTGTTGCCACATACTCGTGTCCCAGTAATGTGTAGGCGTAGGCAAATTGGGGGTCCACCTGACAAATGAAATCAGGTGACCACCGTTATCAATCACTGTTATCAACAGCCATGAAGTGCCACATGCTTAGCGTATGTGTATTTCTCATCATACTTAACCATTGACTTCTCCATGTGATTCATTCTACATACCTGCACTGCTCGCTGGAAGAACTTGATGGCCAAGTCATGCTCTTTTTGTAGACTGAAGCAGTTACCTGTTGCACACCAGGCCTGAATGAACAAATGGAGGGAAGTCAATCAAAGAATATACCATGGTTTTCAGTGCCTATAATGATCGGTCCTTATAGCCTGTATCTTCTCTTGAATCAAGAACAAAATTGCCTACAAATTGACTTAGTGTTTTAAGAATGAATCCTAGTATATTTTGACAACTGACTAGATTTCAAATTCCAATATTTGCCAACATAATTAACGTTGACCTACTAAAAACCTGCCTATGACTGTTTAGTAAAATTCAAAATTATTATTTGCTAAGGTATGCCAAATTTGAATCAAGCTGGTCTTACGCCATGCTCACAGACCACGCAAAAGCTCGGCTGACCATTCCAGCCCCCAAAAATGCCAAGTTATGACAGCATGCAACATCAACACTTTCTGCCGAGAACGGAGGCTCAGTTTGACTCGACCGTCGGAATGCTGCATTTTTACCTCTGGCGACTCCTGCTCAAAATTGCTGAGTTCCTGGGCCAGCATGGAGAGTGCCACCTCCTTGTGAAGATGCCAGAGTGCCGTGGAGTAGTACTCCGTGCCTTCTAGGTGATAGGGCTCTAGTCTCCGCACCTCCGAGAATAGCCTCTCTGCCTGTACGTGGCACAAAACCGATGAGGGATAAAAATTGGGAGTCAAGTTGGACCTGCCGCAAACTCAAATTCGTATCGGGTCAAAATTCTGAATCGCAGGACTAGTGATGGGCCCAATAACACATTTGACTGCTCCATACCATTGAAGTCACTAAGTCTCTCTGTAGTCAATGTGGTTAATCAGGGTCATTTGTATCATTTATTTGAAACACGGCCACTGATAATACCACTGCCCTCTCCATCTGTGTGGGTTAAGCAATGAGTGTCACCCATCTCTTACCTTCTGGTACTCTGCCAGCTCGTACCATGCCCGGCCAACTTGGGACAGGACCCAGCCCGTATTGTAGTGCTGTGGTGGTAGGCTGGAGAAGTAGGCGATGGCCTTGCGGCAGTCGTACTGACTCAGAGCCAGGTAAGCCTTGCCGATCTCTCGGAGGAGTGCTAGCAGGCCCTCTGGTGACAAGAGAGTATTTCAAGTTCAGACCTTTACGACATTAACCTAATTTTAGTTTTTAATCTTTTTTTCATCAAACGATGCAAATATAAAGGCAAAATGTCACAGACTGGGGGTATTCCAGGCTATTTTGAGCCCAAGTGAGTAAATTTGTAAACCTAGTTGTCACAATACTCACTACACTTCCTATAAAAACTGCTTCAAAGCACAACATACCCAAACTGAGATGGTTCTGCCAGTAAGTCAAATGCACAGGACAATCTTGGCACAACACCGATTTCAATCAAATACGTTCCAGGCCTAATACTGTTATACATTTCCACGGAACCACCAAGCCAGCTGAGCAAATCTTATTTCTAAAGTAGTTTCAAAGTCCTCTCTACTGTTGGTCACGTTACCAGGAAGATTTCTGATGATAGACGGCTCTGGGACAATGAAGGACTTTGACGTTTTCAAGTGGCCAACAGTTGTAGACAACTCCGACTCCATCTGTATTTTACTGATGACTTTCCTGAAGCCTCCAAAACCTACCACTGAGAAGGAAGCCAACAGTGCATTCTACGTACTTGAAACTTCCCGGCAGCATCATGCTCAGAGTTTGGTGGGAGTGGAAGGGGCTGTGCCATTTCAATCCTTTAAAATCCTCTTTGGTTGGATTTTGAAGGAATCAGGGAGGGTTTGGTTTGATGGACATATAACCAAGATCCAAAAATATTGCAACTACCAGTGGAGGCTTTCTGGAAGCTCATCAGCTGTTGCTGCTGTGAGACAGCGGCGTAGGCCGCCCTGGACTCTAACGTCCGGTAGTTGTCTGGTTTGATCAGGTCCTCTGAGTCTGGGGGTTGCGTGACGGTGGACGTCCGGCTGCTTTTGCCTTTCGTCTTGCCCTTGGGACAACGGGAGGGACCAATCTTACTCCTGGTGGTTGTTTTCTTGGTAGCATTTTCCTGGCGGAAACAATGTTTTTTCTCCACTTAAAAACTGACTTGTTTGTCCTGTCAATCAAAGTTCCACAGTTATAGTCCCTCCCATGAGACTGCTTCTGCTTCGTTTAATGAAGGTCAGATACAAAATTTGACCACTAAATTAGACACTAGCTCGTACAAAGCAATTCTGCCACCACAGGAATATAATTCTTCAAGATCAATGTTTTAGTCTATCTTCTCCTGTGGAATTCTCTGAATTGCATAAGCAAGAATCAAGTTAGAAGTTTGGATGAGAAAGAAAAACAAAGATTAAACTTGCCAACTTCAAATATATGTTTAAAAAGATTTCTTATGAAACGTCTTTCATTTAAATGTACTTCTTTGATCTTGTTCAGTTGTATAATTTGAGGGACAATATTTAAGTTATTAACTTAAAGAGCAACTTGCATATTTATCAAACTCACCTCCACAAAACAGGCACTTACCAACAGCAAGGGGTACACTCTGGGGCTTACCTTATGATCACACAGAATTCAAATTCATCAAAATGCACTGAGTACACATCTAGTCTGCATCTAAATACAATACAAAACTTTATAGGCTGCTTCCTTACCTTGACTGAATTGTTGGAGAATAGTCTAGAGCTTCTCCGCACTCCCTGGGAGGATGGGAACAAGACTTGAGCCGCACTGCAAGATAATAGATTAGTACTGAAAACTGACATTAACTGTACTGTACAAGAAGCCTTCACAAATGATTAACCCTGAACCCTGCTGAAAG